AAATTTTAAAAATTATAACCATTATAAAAGTAAATGTTCGGGGATGATGCTGAAATTTGGGGTCTTAATTTGAAAATATAAACCCTACTAAAATCCACCTATTCTCTTTTATTATAAACACTAACCCTAACTTCTAATCGAACTATGAAAAAAAGCTGAACAAACACCCCCAAAAATTCATCATCAACCGATTTCAGGATCGCCAACAAAAATTACTGTATAACTATGATAAATTTTTGATCATGTGATGATCTACAACAAACTATCCAATAAAGAATCTTGATTTGGTGCGATGCTAGTAAATATAGATTATCACTTCCTATGAAAATTTCTAGATTTCTATTGGTTATCTTTGTTACACTAAACTATTAACTATATCTGATATATAATATATGCCAATTATACGTTTATTCCATTTTTATTATACGGGATCTTTGCTAGGAAAATCACCCTTCGACATTTTCCTATCGGGCTAATTCGGAACATTTTAAATCAACGTACGGTATCGTATATCCCTAATTACATATGTCTGTTATATCTCCAATTCACAAAAGAAAAATAGAAAACATTCAAAGTATAGGACGGTTGACGAGGCACGCGGTGGAAGTTGCTTTTAATCGTGTCCAAGAAAGTATAAAAACATGTGATTTATGTCCAATCCAATTAAGGGCTTTATAATTTATCGCTATATAGCAATGTATCGCTACCCCGGCTATAAGTCAAATCAAAATTCCGAAAATCAAAATCCCGAAACTTAATTGTCGCATCACGCGATGTCGGGATTTCAATATTCAAACCCCACTTATGATTAGTAATCTATAGGTACTCTATATTACTAATCATAAATGGTGTTTAAATATTGAAACCCCGACATCACGCAACGCGACAACTAAGTCTCAGGAGAATAGCTATAGCGATAAAAAATAAAATCCTTAAACGAATTCAAATCAATCAAATAAAGCGAAGGATTTAAAACAATAAAAATTTATTAAAGATACCGAGTTTAATTTCACCAGCACTCTTAGAATGGAGAAAATTTTGAGTTACATGTTCTCAAAAGTTCTATAAGGTTAACGTTCTTCGTCATACTTGTTTAATAGTTTCACCTGCGCTATATAATTGTAAATCATCGCAAGGATTATGTCGTGCTAGAATATCCATAAATGCATGTATAACAAAACACGGATCAATATTACAATAAATGTAGTAAGTACATCTTAAACATGAATTATTTGAAATTATGATTTTTCTTTGCAAATGATATATTTTTTTCATAATGATTTCTTCAATTCTCAAGAATTAAAGGAAATTTTTGCGTTCTAACGAAAATAATACGCATACATGCATGAAATAGAAGTATATTGGTTGTAGGAAAAAAAAAATGAGAATTGACTAAATTTTTTAAAATAACATTAGAAATAGAATACTAGTAATGGGGGGAGGTTTGAGAATGTGTAACTAACCGGAAATAATTTGCTAATAATTAATTGGTTGAATTAATTGATTTCACAAAAAAAAAAAAAGAAAAAAAAAAAAACTATGCAAATGACATTATAATACTTTTTAATATCAGTGTGAATTTTTTGTACACAATAGTAATTTTATGTTTTAGGTTTAAGGGAATAAATAAGCAATAAACGCAAAATTAATACTCTAGTGACAAATAAAATTAGAAATACAATTCAACCGCACCTTTTTAACAAATGATTCAAGACATAGGCGGGAAAAAATAAACATAGTCCATATTAGATGCCAGAACACCTTTTTTAACATTTTTGTCAACATTCTTCTTCCTCTTCCTCCATGATCACCGAGGGCTTTGTTGTGATTAGATTTTTTCTCCGTAAAGCCATTGGACTACTTACGGTACTGCCCGAATTCGTATGAACGCGTCGTGAATTTGATGTATTATTATTATTATTATTGTGGAAAAACAGCAGCTGCGCATTATTGAGTCCATTTGGTGACGAGGACGAAGAGTCTTTTCTGGAAGTTTCATTACGCGAAGTAACATCCACCTTGCTATTACCTATGTTGTTTCCGATAGTCGGTGAAGAATGTGAACGGCTATGCGATTGACGCAACTGTGAAGATTTGGTTATATGCGTATGTGGAGATGTTGACGATGAGGAAGGCGTTATTGTCGGTGACGGCAATTTTGGTGAATCTGGTGGTGTGGACATAAAATCTATTACTGATTGTGCAAGTGCCTGTGACTTCTCAATAGGAGGAATATAAACGTCCCTCTGTTTCACTCCTGATCCTGAATTTAGTGTAGCGGGTAATGAGTTGAGACGTTGATGGCTTTTTCTTGGTGACGTAGGTGAAACTTCGGAATTGTTATCGGCTGGGGATAAAGGTGGAGAGACTGGTATTTGCGATATTATAGAAGTAGAATTGGAATTATGGAATGGGGTGTAAGGAAAAGTAAGTGGATTTATGATGGTTCCGTAAGGTTTGAGTACAGGTGAATCATTAGATAATGGGGATGCAGCAGTAAAAGGTGATGGTGATGGCGTACGGGATCGTGGGTGAGATGCAATTTCACTTGAAGCATCAATAAATGTATCAGATTCCTCACCGTCATCACTCGAAGTCACATCTTCTTCTCGTATTTTATGTGACGATTCGTCTACTTTTTGTAAATCTATTTTCTTCTGTTTTGATATCGACGGTTCAGAGTTGTTATCCTGTATTAGTGGTAGTGGTGGTGTAGGAGGTGGTGATGCTAATGTGATTGTTTTTGATTTTGAAGATTCTACTATTATAGTATGTCCATCTATGGTTAAAGTATCATTTTTTACAGTATCATCAGAAATGTTCTCTATCGCACTTGTCTCAAAAGTGTCCTTATCCTGATGATTATTAGCATTCTCAGATGAGCCAGATCCAGATCCAACTTCAGCATCCAAGTTTTCCTGTATGCTGCTGCTAATTGAACTTCCTCCTATACTCCGTCGCTTTACTTGTTTACGTCCCCATGAGTTTCCTGTATAAGTAAATGGGTTTCTACGATTAATGGTAAACATGGTTTTATGTCTAACCGCTGGTGGTGTCCCAGGGATGGGTGACATACCGATTGGGGAATTATGAGAAAGAACAACAGAAGGCGTAACGGGAGGAATAGTCAAAGGTGCAGTACTTGAACGACGACTTTTGTTACCCTGAAAAGAATTTCGGTTCTTCTTTTTTCTATCTTTTATTGACCCACCACGTGATATTGACGACGATCTTCTTCGAATATTGATACTACTAGTACTATCATATGACAATGGTGTTTTACCATCATTCCTCTTGACAATACGCATTTGTGAACGTGCAACATCAGCAGGAACCACAATTCCACTTTCAGTCCAATTCAACATACTTTTTTTATAAGCACTACTCGAATCTTTATGAGTCTGTTGACTAGATCCACCCAACCATCCCTTTATCGTTGATAATATGCTTTTCTTTCTATTATCTTTACTATTAGGTAACTGTATTGTTATTGGGGTGATTGATATATGCGGTATAGGACTTACTGACCGTGAACTTAATGGACTAGTAAAAGATGAAAATTTCTTAGGTGACAAAGGAGGCGATGCTGTAGCAGTAATTGCTGTCAAAACAGGTTCAACTGCTTCCGGCAGTGAAAGGATTAAAGATTTGCGTCTTTCACGCGAAGCTGGAGCTGTATGATATGTTTTCGGCGGTGGTGTAGGTGGTAACATCTTTTCCGGAACTTTTATAGAATTTTCAGCTATTATTTCATTACAATCATCTTCCTGAGATGACATGTTACTATCTACAGGAGAGTCCATGCTATCAGGTTCTTCCTCAATATCATCTGCAATTTCTAATTCATCATCACTAGTACCAACAGCAACGTCTACCATTGTTACTGAACTTGGTGCAACTTCAATCTTTATTTTTTCTCGTAGTCTTGTTAATAAAAGCCACCAAAGTCCACTAGCAGAGTCTACTTTACCTTCTAAAACACTAGATTTTATGGCTTGGACATCAAAACCTAAGCCTTCTAGTTTATCTAATAATTCCTTTTCTTCAGGAGTTGTAAAAAAAATCTTTTCATTAAAGGTCTTACTATCAATCGAGGATCTTCGAGATGATTTTGAAGTTGAAGGACCAAAAGTTTTCCGCGATGTAGAACAACTATCTATTGCAGTTGTCATTCCTGTTAATCGTGTTTGAAATGCAGAAGGTGCTACTGATGATACATCATTCCCTTTGTTGCGAATAAATCCCGTTGGATAACAATTTTGTGCATCTTGTTTTTGTTTTAATAAAAAAATTTCATGCCGTTGACGTTCAAGATGCCCAATTGCGTCGTTATTATTTCCCGATTGTGCTATCGTTGCTTGTCTTATAGGTTCCTTTTCATTTTTCTCTTCGATAGATGATAGAGATTCGTCATCATCTACGTCCTCATATGTATCCCACTCGTCATCATCATCATCATCTTTTACCGTAAACCATGCATGTTGTAAAATCTGTTTTAACGTTGGTCGTTCTTTTGGTTCAAGTTGTAATATTGACTTTATAAGGTCTTTGGCCTCTGATATTAATAAATTATATAACACAATTGTAAAAATGTAAATAATGATTAATATAATGATTAATATAATGATTAATGCTTTTTTTTTTTTTTTTAATTACCAAAAAAAATAAGGGTATTGCTATTGCCACCCCCATTTTTGCTAATGCCACCCCCTCATATGATCAAACCCTAATCAATAATTAGAGTTAGGAATGTTGGATGCCAATCAAATTATGCAAGTTATGCAAGGGGTTACATTAGCAAAAATAGGGGGTGGCAATAACGATTCCCAAAAATAATAATTAATAAATAAATAAAATAAAATAAAAAATAGATTTATTACCATCTGACAAAAATTCATCCATTTCATATTCGCCTTTCATTATTTTTAATTTCATTACATTTTCATCATCATCATCAAAGGGAAGAGAACCACAAAGTAACGTATATAGAATAACCCCCAACGACCATACATCGATTTCTATAATCATAGGGAAATATTGATGAATCACTAAGCAAATCTTATTAATAAATATAAAATCGGTAGCGCTGAAATAATTTACCTAGACCAGAATATTTTTTACCAGAAAGCATTTCTAAAAATAGCATAAAAAAGTAATTAATTAATGTGTAATTAATCATATACATTCATAATCGAAGTAATCGAAGATAATATTATGCAATTATTTATAATCCACATAATCATATTTTATCTACTTCTTTACATGGAAAATTTTCATTAACCATAATAAATCATACCCCCCGAAATTGACCGTAAAAAAATATATCACATGCCTGGAGCGGAATAACCTGTCGAACCGCATCTAGTTTCTAATAGTTTTTTGCTTTCATACTCTCTTGTAAAACCAAAATCACCTAATTTTATATTTTTGTGAGTGTCAAGAAGAATGTTTTCTAGTTTAAGATCTCTACAAAATGCAACATAAT